TTGAGAGAAAAAAATGTAGACAACGGAAACAATCGTAGAGTAACACCTTATGGTTGCTGCTGAGGTGCTGAAACCAGTTTAGTTCAACATAACTTATCTCAACTTCTGTCAACTTTATGTCAACTTCTGATCTGCACGAGTTTGTGAAGCAATAAACACATAGAGGTCCTCTGACTCTATGGAGTGAGATCACCTGCAGCTAATATGACATCTATCTGCTGAAAATATACATTTTCCACCTTATGAGCCTGCAGAGGTCCTGGATGATCAGCAGCTGGTGGGCTGTAGGTTTCCAGTTAAATTGTGTCTGAGAGATTAGCTATGGCTGAAACTCATTCATGTCTGGGACTTTAACCATCAGGTTGTGCTATTCTTGCAGATTTGAAAAAGGTGACAAAGCAGGTCTTTGTGTAGTAAAAGCTTAAAGATTGCTCAACCTCAGACCTTCTAACTAACTGGATTACGCTGCAAACAAAAGTAAGAGAAAATCAACATTTTGTTTTCAAAGTTACTCGCCTTTATGTCATTAAAACCTGCTAGCTTAAAGCAGTTAAATCCCCTGCATTGTTTACCCAAACACATCCGCTCAGGTAATCCAACGTTGCACCACAGTCAGGTTTGAGCCACATCGTTCATACGCTAACAGGAACAAATATGTTGACGTATGAGCTGCTCCGACAGGGTCAGAGGTTAAGCCTCTATGGCGATGTGTGGGGGGAAGAAAGGAAAAAGTTAAAGCGGGAGCCCAGGGCTGATGAATGTGAGCGTGAGGAGTCAACAACAGCTGATCTCAACCTATTGCATCTTTTTATTGGAGATATTTCCAGAATTTGATGTTTGAACAGCAAACTGAGAAAATGGCTTCTGTTTTAGCTACTAGAATCAGGTGATCTTTGGTCTTATCCTCTTTTCTGGAAAGTCATGCACCCATATAACTCAGTTTTCCTCTAGCCCATGAATGCATCGTGGGGATGGGCCTGTTTCTGTGTGCTTTGGCTATGAAAATATAGAATCAGGCATTTGATGTGTTAAACAGAGTTCAGCAGCACTCTCCATACTAAAGAGCACCCCCTCTTTAGGCTAATCTAGTTGTCATATATCAATAATCATCATTGTGCTGAAACCCCAGCTCCAGTTTTCTGGCAGAGCTCATCAGTTTTTGTTTCCTATATCTCCAAGTGTAAAGAAAAGTTCTGGATGCCTGGAAGAAGAATCAGGCCCATAGAATCACTGACCCTCCACTGTGCCCGCAGTAACAGGTAGGACAGGAGAGGCTCCGCCCATCTGCCACCTCCAAACAGCTGAGTAGCATGTAGGTGGAACATATAGTGGTTGTTTTGGACTTTTTGTGCTTTTTTTTATTCCAGGTTCTGGTCCATTTTTTATTGACGCAGTCCCCGAGGTTTGATCATTGGTTTAGTGAATGTGAGTTGTTTTTTTTTTTTTTGTCCAGAAACCTGCTGAAGTCACAGATGTTTTTCCACATCTGTCAGTGCTGCTTTATGTTTTGTTTTTTTTAACCAAACTAAACAAATGCAGTCAAATTCAAAGGTTGCATCTTTCCCAATGGGAGTTAATCTTTATATTGCTGTTTTTATTGTTATCTATAATAAGTTTCTTTGTTTACATTCACATATGAAGGTGTAAAATAACTTAGATTGTTCCAAGCACTGTCCAGATGTTGACGTTTTAAATAATTTAATGGGTAAAATCATAATTAAGGCATCCTTGTCAGAAACATGCCACCCCCCCAGACAGGAGGCCTTACCTCATGTAAAATGGAGAAGCTGGCCGGTCTTCGTCCTGGGAGCTGAAATTTAAAAATAGACACATTTAATCTAGCGAGCAGGATGTTTCCATACAGAGAAAGGAGCTTTTCTGCAGCATTACAGCCACCTTTGTGGAAGCCGTCTCTGGCTACTATAACAACAGAAAGGCTGCTTTCTAATAACACTTCTGTCAAGCTGTGCAAAAATGTATTTCGGTTTTGGGTCAGACCAGCCAGAATTTTCACTATTTTTTCACCTCCCTTAACGAAAGTTCTTTAGGATTTCTGAAGGTCATATTTCAGTGAGCTCAGTGGCACAGTGGGTTGCACTGCTGGCTTGCAGCAAGAAAGTTCCAGGGCATGCGTGGGTTCTCTCCGGGTACTCTGGCTTCCTCCCACAGTCCAAAAACATGACTGTTAGGTTAACTGGCTTCTCTAAATTCTCCTTAGGTGTGAGTGTGTCCATGTGAATGGTTGCTTGTCCAGTTTGTCTCTGTGTTGCCCTGAGATGAACTAGCAACCTGTCCAAGGTGTACCCTGCCTTTTGCCCGTAGATAGGCACCAGCACCCCTCACAACCCCGCTTGTGATAAGCAGGATGGAAATGGATGGATGGATATTTCAGTGAATCCTACAGAGGGAATCACACTCCTTGAGCTTCTTCTATCTGAGCTTTGTGCTGTGCTGATTGGTCCTCATGGTGTTGTTTGACCACCAATGTTCTCCAGCAAACCTCTGAGGCCTTCAGAGAAGAGATGAGGGGATAATGCGCCCAGGCAGGCTCTCTTTTCTCTGTTTAGATGTCTTATGAAGTCAAACTCTTGCCATAGATTTTACTCATAGAAGCATCAGAGTAAATGTGGCTGATTATAAATCCTTATCATGCATTTTATTTTGATTTCCTTATATTATTTATAACCGTCTTAAACCTTGGAAATTAACACTTATATGCAGTTTTCCCCTTTTTCTTAGCTGAACAACAGAGTAGGGCAAAAAGAAAACGCTATTTTAACACATCTGTTGAAAGCTCTGGAGAAAAGTGAAGGAATGGCTGCAGTCATTGAAAGTTTGTCCCATGTCAAGTCAAATTGGCAGAAATTAGCTGTTTCAAATCTACATGAAGACATTATGCAATAGGGAGGGGAACTCCTTAGTGGTGCTAAATGCTAAAGTTGCTTAAATCTCTCCAAACCCTGGCACTCACACACTGTTGGTTTCATAACCTCCTGCACCTGTTAGCTCAAACAGAGCTACACTAAAGTCAGGGAAGGGGAAACTGTAAAGTTCAATTTTAATCTCTATAGATGTCGACATAATCTTTTTTTTCAATTCTTGTTTTTATTTCAATCTTTTTTTAAGTCTATTTTTTGTTTTCAAAGAGACTAATGATGTATCAATGCTATTTTGAGAGAGAGAAAGCGGCCCACAGCGTCATACAGACCAGAGTCTTTTAAAAAGAAACTGATTAGTCAGTCACTTCATTTGGATGGGATTAAATTGATATCAGATAATAAAGTTATTAATGCATTTTTGAATTCCCAAGAATTTCCTTAATTCATTTCCACAATATTGCAAAAAAATTTGAAATATCCTGTCCTGGAGGGATGCTGAGAAACTCGTCTATGCATTAATTTCACTTCAAGGCTGGACTATTGTAATTCTTTACTAACAGGAAGTCCACAAAATGTTATTAAAAGCCTTCAGCTGATCCAAAATACTGGAGCCAGAGTTCTGCTGAAAATGACAAACAGAGATCACATCTCTTCTATTCGAGCTTCTCTTCACTGGCTTCCTGTTAAATCCAGAAAAGAATCTAAAATCTTATTCTCACATATAAAGCCTTAAATGGCAAAGCTCCTTTCTTATGTTCCTAACAGAGCACTTCGCTCTCAATCTGCAGGTTCACTAGTAGTTCCTAGAATTTCTAAAAGTAGAATGGGAGGCAGATCTTTTAGGTATCAGGCTCCTCTCATGTGGAACCAACTGCCAGTTTTAGTCCGTGAGGCAGACACCCTGTCTACTTTTAAAACTTTCCTTTTTGATAAAGCTTATAGTTAGAGTGGCTCAGGTTATCCAGAGCTATCTCTATAGTTATGCTGCTATAGGCTTAGACTGCTGGAGGACATATGGACCACTTTTCATCATTCTGCTTCATTCTCTCTCTATTCTCACACTCTGCAGAATCTGTTAGTTCAACCAACAACGTTATGCTCTTTGCTTTTTTTTCATAATAATAGATTTATCTGGTCTGTTCCTTTTTGGCTATGACACCATCCTGGAGAGAAATATAAGCTATTCTGCTTTGTTTATAGATGTTGGAGCTCCCCCTGTTTTTCAGTGTAGTCCTGTTTCTATGACTGTGACTGACTGGATGGGCTTTCTTTCATCCTCTGACATGGGAACTGGCTCGGAGCTGCCTGGCTGAGTGTTTCCTGGACAGGGGGCCGCCTATGGAGCTGGTTGCCTTTTGTATCTCTGCTTCTTTCTGTGTGTCTTCTTCTATCTCTTTGAACCACAGTTAGCCTCGGCAGANGGACGCTTACACTGGGCCTGGTTCTGGTTCTACTTGAACTTTCTTCCTGTTCAAAGGGAGTTTTACTTTCCACCATCGCCACAAACATGCTTGGTGTTAGTAATTGCTGTTAAGTCAATGAGTCAATCCAATCAGCCATTTTTCCTTAGATAAAAATGAACCAATTGAACCAATTTTACTGTATGTTGGGTTGAATAGTTTCTTTAAAGTGCCTTCAGATGACATGTGAATTGACACTATATTAATAACGAAAAATTTAATTGTAATGAACTGAATTGAAAGTGAAAAGCTACGCTGTGATGCTTTGAGGAGGAAGGGAAGATGTTTCCTTACAATCCATCCAAACTTAAGAAACTATATCATGGTGTGAGCTTTACCAAATTGTTTGTTATACTTTATTTTGCAGTTTAATTATTAAAAAACAGGACAACCCAATGCTATTAAAGGTGAACATAAAATAGGAAGAACATTAACGATGGGAACTTATAAGTCAAGGTAAATTAAAGCAAAAACAGACAAATTAGTGAGATGAGGGAAAAGACCAAGGCAGAAAGAAGACAAAAAAAAAAAACAGGAAAAGACCAAGGCAGAAAGAAGACAAAAAAAAAAAACAAACAAAAAAAAACAAACACCCAAATTGTAATAAGCTTCGGTCTTTTACAAGAAGAACAGAAAATTATGATTCTGGCTTCAAGCAAAGAGAAATAAGTGAGCTAATCCTGACTGACTAAAAACTGGAAAACTCCTGTTATTTAATGTTAGAAGAAGGAAACACAACATAGGAAGGTTTGCCTTTGAGGATCACAACACGTTTTGTTACCATTCAGTGTTTTTCTACATGATGTACCTCCAGGAGGCTTACTGGAAGAGGCAGGTACGCTGACGGGACCACCTCCACCTCCACCAGATCAAAACAGAGGAATTAGGTTTCAAGTCAGGTGCAGCCAGAAATGGGCCAGAGTTCATTCAGCTTCCAAAGGTTTCCCTCAAACCACAGAACGTACAGAACATGGGCATGTTTTCCTCTGCTGCCGCTTCACTTCACAGCAGTTTGCCTTCTTACACACCACCCCCCGACCCTGGTATGAACTGGTGCGACACAGGCGTGCAGGATCATTACAACAATGCAGGCTGTCACTGGGCTGCTGTGAATTACCAAAGCGGAAATCCTGCTTACCCACTACCTGTGTGAGGGGATAAGGAGAAGCTTTGGGGGGCATGCTGGGAAAAGGACTGATCCCTCCAGGAAACAGAGGAAGAAAATAACAAGAAGCTGGTCAACAGGGTCAAGACTCCAGTTTGTCAAACTTCTAAAACGTTGGAAGTTAAATGATTAAATCTAAACCACACCTAAACTCCTCTTTCCCTCTGAGAAAGTCAGATTTATTGGAGTCTTAAAGCTCCTGCTGTTTTTGAAAAAGTTTCCTTTGGTTGATTTTCACTCAGTTCTGGAAAAGGCTGAACCCTCATTTAAAGATTAGTGTTGCACCGATACCGGTATCGAACGGGGCCCCGATACTGCCCTAAATTGGTGGTATCGGTATTGGCGAGTACCAACCAATAGGGCACAGATACCATTTTGAGAGCCATAAGTTTCTTCAACTATTGTCACCCACTCCTGGTAGGCAATAGAAAGTTCTACTGGATTCACAAAGGTAGGCAGCAGCTTGACAAAGCCATGATGGCAATTATTTTACATTATTATGGTATCGGTATCGGCCGATACTGCACAGCCAGGTATCGGTATCGGGGCCAAAAAATGGCATCGGTGCAACACTATTAAAGATACACTCCAACCTCAACGTCAAAGTTTACTTCAATCTCAGATATTTTGACGATAACAGAAGAGATCTAAAATTAAAAACAATCAAATTCAACAACATTAAATAATCTGAAGTCCAACATCCTTCTTGGACCCTTAATAATTTGAGCATTGGAAAAGGGTGTGTGTTGGTTTTCTCCAGTCTGCAGCCTGTTTCTTTAAACCCTGTTTGCCGTGCCGTCTGACGCAGAGACTTTCTGACATCAGCAGGGAACCTGCATCACGCCGTAGCACTTCTAAAGGTCTTCTCAGAAATCTACAGCTTACAGCCGAGCAACTCCGCACAAAAGCATCTACTGTGAGAAAGTATGTGAGCCCTTTAGATGGGAACATCAGGCTCCTGCAGCCTGCCTGCTGTAGGAGGATCAGAACAGAACCAGAACTCCAACCTTTATTCATTTAATAAAGGGGAGAAAAGGTGTTCAGTTCCTGTCCAGGGTTCACCTGCACACAGCAGGTGGATTATGGTTGTCCATTTTGTCGTCCTAAACCTTTTTAAAAATATGTGAGGAATAAAAAACCTTGTCGATTCAAATGTGCTTTGAACATAAACCCAAACCTGCCTGGACTGAAGTGAAAGAAACAAAATAATGGGCAAAGCTGCTCTGACCGACGCATCTGACACTCAGCTATGAAAAATGAGAGCAAGCTGTTATGTAGCCATGAGAGAAAAGATTTCCACTCCTGGAAAATCACCAGGAAAGATTGAAAATCAAAGCTTTCTGAAGCAGATTTTTAGTTCTAATTAGACTTAAACCAAAATGTGTAATTTCAGCTCCCAAGAACGACAACCCAGCTCTGATTTTGATGCACTCTGCCATGAATTACTGTTAGGGTTTGCTGACGCATATCTCTAAGACCCCCATCATCCTGGTCGGGGATCAGTGACACATTATGAGCGGGCAGCCAAAGTTTTATCCTGTGAGGGAATCCGCTTGAAGATTTACAGGCCTATCAACAACCTGTAAGCATCAAATGAATGTGTGAGTAAAGGGAACCATGGGATCACATTTCCAGGAAAGGACCCCCACCACACCCCCATTTCTCTGGGTAACATCTCTGAATGTTACATGATTTAGAGACATTATGGGGACAGAGAACATAAAGACAAGCTTAAAAAGCAAATATAGATAAACTACTGTAATGTTTTCATGAATCTGAACTGAAAATTAAAATGTTTTTAGTAATTTTCACTGAAAAAAATGTACTACAATCTTTCCTTCATTTGCTCTTATTTATTTAAATTATTAAAATGTCTCCATATTGTTAAAATTGACGCATATCTCTAAATCAAATTTAAAGATTTGATTTTTGCAGCATTGATATTTTATGGGTAGCACCATGAGCAGCCTTATTTCCTAATAGACGTGTTTACATCCCTTAATTTATGATTTTTAATATGATTAAGATTCAATGAAAGGCTTTAGCTGAACTGAAATGCCTCAGGAAGAAAAGTCTCTTTATAAAAATGGCAGAAAATCAGCAGAAAACTTCTTTTGCCTTTTGAATTTTTTTACCTTCATTTCCGGCTGAACCAATACACTAAAAAAAAGGAATTTTTCCTTAAAATAAGTGCATTTGTTCTTGAATTAAGGAGGTAAAAGAGACATTTTGCCAATGGAACAAGACAATTTGCATTTAAAATAAGAAAACACAACTGCATTGTCTTATTTCAAGTGCATTTTTATCTAATTATGTTATTTTAAGAGTAAAAATACTCATTCCATTTGCAAACTATCTCATTTACCTACTTAAATTAATGGTAAATACACTTAATTCAAGACATTTTGTATTTCTTTCTAGATCATTTTTCCAGTGTACTGCTGTCATACCTACAATCTGTATTAGTTTAGCTAACAGGGCAGGAAATTACACAACCTTCAAGAAGGATCAGGTCTGTATCTCCAGCCAGTGAAGGTCAGCATGTCTGTAGACCACCCCACCCACCCCATGGAGACCTGAAAGAAAGCTGCTCTGCTGTCAGACAGACATTAGCCTGTTTACACAGTTGGAAATGGCCTTTAGAAACAAATATATGGCTTATATACGTCTATATGCAAATGTATGTCTAAGTCTAACTGAAATAATTTCTCTAATTCCTTTTTCAATCTCTGAACTCTGAAAGGTTCTTCTACATCATTCAGGCCTGGATAGAACCCCGCAGTCCCAACAGAACCGATTCTAATATTCTGTCAACTGAAGCAACCGTCTTCATCCATGTGAAGGATGTTAGAGCAGCGCAGGCCCACGGTGAGCTGAGGCAGCACTGGGAGCCCAACAACAGGCACAGCTGCAGCGCTGCTATTCCAGGACTGAGGGAACTGGAAACCAGTCGGCTCTGGTTTCAGCTTCCTATAAAAGGCTGAATGCCGCTGATGCTGGTTCAGGATACTGGTCCATAACTGCTGTCAGACACTTGAGACTCTTCACCCTTAACCCTAGCTGACGTGATGGGAAAAAACACTTTTTAATAACCCTCCTTCCCGATGAAACTAACGCAGAAATGATGCAACCTGTTGATCACATTTTCACAGAAGCTGTGTTTCACACTCTGATGATCAGGACAATGTGTGGAAAGTTTAGTCAGGTTTGTTCCCAGCAGCAGGTGACTTTCTGCTGAGAAAGAGGCCGCTGTGAAAATATAGATGTTTTCTGCACAAGTTGGGAACAGAGAACCAGGATTTGCAGGAGCAAAATCCTGCTAAATTCACACCTTCTTTGACCTGATATCATCCCTCACACCAACATTTGGAAGAAGCTGGGCCAAATCTGAGATAAATCTGCATCTGTTTATGTCTCGGCCTGATTAGATCTCCAGAACATTCCTAAGTTTGAGAGTATATGCATAATAACAATTATTTGTGTCTCTTTCCCAGTAAATGAGTGTATGCATGCAATCTGAAGCTGAAAATAATCCCTAATATATTCAGTTTAATGGGAATCACTGACCTGCTGAGGCCCTCTGTGCTCCCAGAGAGGCTGAAATCGACATGCGGGGAAGCGGTTCTGGAAGTGTCCGGGTCTGGCAGGGGGGACGTGTCTGTCACCTCCGGGCTTGAACTCCTCAGCTCTGAGGTCAGCGGTAAAACTATTGGTATGGAGAAGAACCTTGTGCTGGGCGACCCTTGAAGCTGTCTGGGCTGACAAACCACTTGAGGCATGCCGTCGTTCCTCCCCTTTCTAACCTGTTCGACAGACAGAGCAAAGTTAGATTTTTGATATTTCCCTGAAAAACAGACTAAAACGCTGCGGAGATGCACATGACACAGAAGAGAGAGGAAACTAGAAAAGCAAGAAAGAAGAACAGTGAATGACACAGTTTAGTCCGTTTCTGGCTTACCGTTCTGACCCTGAGGGGGTATAAACTGCGTGAATTTCCAACCTTGGTGTAGGAAAAGAACCTCAGTCTGATCACTGCAACATTTTGAAAGTTTTCTTTCTGCATTTTTGGAATCAGGGCCAATAGTGACTTTAAACACAGCCCCTCTAGGACACGTTAACAAGCTTTCCGTCTCGTTATCCTGTCTGTAGAGAACTAATATTGCTGCGCATTAAATCCAACCAGTGGTTCCACAGGATGAAATGGGTTTGACACCAGCAGCCTAACCATCGATAATGGTCTCTCCAGCTTCCAGGGCTAAAAGGCTTGTCTATAGATAAACAGCTCACTGCTGAATTAAAAGGCTGACGTTTCGGTTCCTCAAACCAATTATCAGTAAAACAAAAAACCTTTCCATTTAGGCTCTGATTTAATGGCTTGTTTCAACAAGAAAATCTATGTACACAGTGTTTATTCAGACACTTAGCCACCTAATGGGGGGCATAATTAGTTGCACAAACTTCTTTAGCTGAACCGCATATGGATTTTGCCCCTTGGAGCTTTTGATTGATTTGAGTCCATTTGCCATTAAGAGAAAACCAAACATAAAAAAGATGAATGAGTTCAACGTCAGCTGTGTTCAGGAGGGGGTTTAGTCCGTGGAGAAATCACAGACGTCATAGAGGGAAACCAGACCATGGAAGGCAGCAGGCATCAGGAACTGCTGCAGTTCTGTTACTTAGATTTGACTCTGGATTCTCATTTTGCTTGATGATGCAGATGTCAACATGCAAATCAATTAGAAACTGCTTCCATGTTCAGTTAAAAAGCAACTTTTTACTAAGTTAGAAATTTCAGCTTAAAACCAGACTCAGTTTTTTCTGGGCAGCACTGAATCATTGTTGCTCCCAGTTCCAGTTTCTGACTTTTAACTTAGTCACAGTAACAACATGCAGGAGGTCAAAAGGCCAGATGGCAGAGAAATCTGACACCCAGAGATGAAAATGTGACCTGGTTTCTAAATCAGGATGTTTTAAGGTGTGTGAGGAAGAGTTCAAAACTCTGAGGCTTCTCCCATTCATAAGCCATGTATGCATATAAATAGAGTGACGCCCAGAGCCAACATCGACAGATTCCCAAACAGCAACACTGTTTGAGACACACATACATGAGATTGTATACGTATATATAGTTCATCATAATATTTACTTTGTTAAATCCAATGAAGCTGGAGGTAACTATGACACAGAAACAGGAAAGACAACCATCCAAAAGCGAAGGGCAAAATAAGCTCATTATAAATGATTCTTTAGAAACGATTAACTGCAATAATAAAGGAAATTTATAGGGCTGCCCACTAATCTGGTCTACCAAGGAAATCCTTCCATCTCTGCGGGTTTCAAAGTCCATCCATTAATTAGTTCCTTCTTGCAGAGTCACAGGAGCTGTAGGGCCTTTCTCTAGTGGTTAAGGATTGGACCAAGCAATACCCTTGACAAGTTGCATGTCGAACACAGAAAAAAGGACAACAGGCACACACACTCAGTGCTACAAAAGCACACAACCTGAAATGCTTGCTTTTGAACAGTGGTAGGTCCCTGGAGTACCCTGAGAGAATGCACACACTCACCGGGAAAAGAAGCCAACACCATGCTGAGCAGTCTCTGACCAGGATTCAAACTCTAGACCTCTCTGCTGCAAGACAGCATTGCAGCAGGAGTAAAAATGTAGAAAAAAGCGCCTGATTGTCAGACCAGAGTAGTTTATAACATTCAACTGAGGCCAAACAGAACCAGAACCTGAGCCGGCATTAGAAGCTTGGAATGATCCAGAAGTCTCCGGTGACTCCCCAGTTGAGATGATCATTGAGGATCATGATGGACACCTTTGTCATGTGGAACAAGAAAAACAATGCACAGCTAAAGATGGCAAAGACTAAACAACTGATGGTCAACTTGAGTAGACCCAAAGGCCCTGTGACCCCTGCTAATACTCAGGGTTGATACTCAGAGTTAATACGTAGTGTATTTGGGTGAACTGCTCCAACAAAGTGAGATGGGTATAAAAAAAGCCCTTTTTCTGAGACTGCTGATGCTCTTTAACATCTGCCGCAGATTTGAGTCCATGATGGCCAGCACCATTGTGCTTCTTCTGTCACAGGAGCCTGAGGGTCAAGGACACCAACAGGCTCAACAATATCATTCAGGGTGTAAGCCATGTTGTTGGGGATGAGTAAGACTCAAGGTTTTGTGCCAAAGGACACTGTCTACAGTGAGGACAATGTTGGACAGACCTTCATAATGTCACCATGATCTGCTGAGCAGAACAGGAATCGGTCAACAATAGACTCAGACTGACTCGGTACAAACAAAGGAATTCAGTCCAAAAATTCAACCTATGACAGAAGCTTCTGGCTTAGAAACGTTGCTGAAAGCTTTTTAAGTTCCTGCCTGCTGAAGGAACCTCGTTCTTCAGCAGATGTATTCTCCTTTTCTGACATAATCGACCTATTACAGTAGGACCCACATCTATGACGGAGGGAACCACAGAAACAACATCTTAGACTCCAAAAGGAAAGAGATGCTGACATGGTTTTACAGCCAGTCCAGCACTCAATTTCTTATTCATAATGTTTGTGACAGATCACAGCTAGTATTTGTAAGGCCATCTACAGTCTGTTTTTCTCACTCTGCTCATAATCGTGCTGTTGTTTCCTGAGAAGACGACTTTATCAAATCACATCATGTGACCAAAGCCACGAGCTCCGAAAGCCGTCTGACAGACGACCTCAGGGTTAATCAGAATCCAGGGACCGAGCCAAGACAGATAGAGAGGAAGAAGAACGCATTCAGAGGAAAAACAGCAGATAAACATGACGCTAATGTGACAAAGATTCTGGACATTTTCTTTGGAATTTTGCTGCAGCTTCTGTTCAGATGTTTTATGTCTTCATTACTTCCGTTTTTTTCACAAAAGAATAAAATGCCACACATTTCATGTCTTTTTGGTTGGAAAAAAGCATTTAAATCTTCATGTTGCAAATATAAATAGGATGAGAGAGGAAAATTCAGATCAGCTGACTATGATAAGATCTTTAAGCTCACAGAAACAAACACTGAACTTGACTCCTAAGAAATAAGCTTTTTCCAAAACATGCTGCAGACATGTTAATCACGTCACATGGATCACATGGTCGGGGTTATTCAGAACCAACCGAAGCTCTTTAAGGTATGAACAGGCAGCCTGCAACATCATTAGAGTCAAATGAAAAGGCTACACACCCACGTTTAAATTGGACGTGTTTGTGGTTGGAAAAGAATATCAGTAAAAAGATTTTACACATTTACTCTGACCTATAGTTTGGAAATGTTTACTGAAAAACAGCAACAACTGTGTTGGAATTGGAACAAAAACCTGCAATAACCTGACTGCATCAGTGTAACATCCTAAATATAAAAAGGTTGAGGTGCCTTTATTAGCTATTATACAGCAAACATCACTTATTGCACATCTGATTAAGTAAATGTAGTTCCTCTGCTAAGATTTTCTCTAAAGCTCCTTTAATTAAAGCTATACTTTTAAGATAATCTAGGAAGGATCAAAATGTTCTCATTGCACAAAAGTATGAGTCAGGAGGAAAAGGTTAAACTATTTAGAACAAAGAGGCCCAGTGAAAAGCAGTACAGCAGTAATAAGAGACTATCATGGATAAAAAAACAATCAAAAACATTTCAGTGAGGCTCTGAACAGCCTAGAAGGAGCTGCTGCCGCTGGTTGAAGCGTCTTCCTACAACCGTTCACTTCTCACTAGATGAAACCAAAACAGTGATAAAGAGGTGGCTATAAACTCAAACAGGGGCTAGGAGAGATGACAACTCAATCTTATTACCTTAACAGCCAGAATTATTTTTCTGACCAAAGATTATCACCTTTCTACTAACATCTACCAAGTTCAGAGTAAAAAGAGCATTTTGGATGAGATTGAAACCCCCTACAAGTATTCTGGTTGGCCTCTGTTCAAGGATTTAGAAAGGACCATGTAGATGGGCCAAAGCATCTGAGCCTTGGTCTGGAATAATCCTGAAACAGAAGTTGGACCACAACTCCTAAAGTGATGTCGCTAGCCCTAGCAGGTGCTCCCACTGTAGTTATTTATAAAAAAAATATAAACAGAATAAACGT